GGGGACGGACGCGACCTCGTCTGCCGGGCCCGGGGCGCCGGAGGCCGGCGCCACCTCGCTGGTGCCGGAGGGGGCGGCGCGCGAGAGCCTGGTGGCGTTGGTCAGCACCTCGGACAGGGACTCGGGCGCCAACGGGCAGGTGCGCTGCGCCCTCTACGGGCACGAGCACTTCCGGCTGCAGCCGGCCTACGCCGGCAGCTACCTGGTGGTGACCGCGGCGTCACTGGACCGCGAGCGCATCTCCGAGTACAACCTGACCCTGGTGGCCGAGGACCGCGGCGCCCCCCCGCTGCGCACCGTGCGGCCCTACACCGTGCGCGTGGGCGACGAGAACGACAACGTGCCGCTCTTCACGCGGCCGGTCTACGACGTGTCGGTGCGCGAGAACAACCCGCCCGGCGCCTACCTGGCCACGGTGGCCGCCCGGGACCCGGACCTGGGCCGCAACGGCCAGGTCACTTACCGGCTGCTGGAGGCCGAGGTGGGCCGCGCTGGGGGCGCCGTATCCACCTACGTCTCAGTGGACCCGGCTACAGGGGCCATCTACGCGCTGCGCAGCTTTGACTATGAGACGCTGCGCCAGCTCGACGTGCGCATCCAAGCCAGCGACGGCGGCTTCCCTCAGCTTTCCAGTACCGCCTTGGTGCAAGTGCGGGTGCTCGACCAGAACGACCATTCACCGGTCCTGGTGCACCCTGTGCCGGCAAACGGCTCCCTAGAAGTGGCGGTCCCCGGGCGCACAGCAAGGGACACGGCCGTGGTGCGCGTGCAAGCCCGAGATGCGGACGAGGGCGCCAATGGGGATCTGGCCTTCGACCTGCAGCAGCAGGAGCCGCGCGAAGTCTTCGCCATCGGCCGCCGCACGGGGGAGATCGTGCTCACCGGCGACCTCTCTCAGGAGCCGCCGGGCCGTGTGTTCAAGGCGTTGCTGGTCATATCCGACGGCGGCCGTCCCCCTCTGTCCACCACCGCGACTGTCAGCTTCGTGGTAACAGCAGGCGTGGGGCGCGGGCCGGCCGCGCCTGTCAGTGCGGGAAACCCGGAGCGCTCCCGCCCACCTGGCTCACGGCTCGGGGCGTCGGGGCCGGCGCTGCAATGGGACACGCCACTGATCGTCATCATCGTGCTGGCCGGGAGCTGCACGCTGCTGCTGGCCGCCATCATCGCTATCGCCACCACCTGCAATCGCCGCAAGAAGGAGGTGCGCAAAGGGGGGTCCCTCCGGGAAGAACGGCCTGGGGCTGCGGGCGGCGGAGCCTCGGCTCCCGGCTCCCCGGAGGAGGCCACCCGGGGAGCCGGGCCCAGGCCCAACATGTTCGACGTGCTCACCTTCCCTGGCAGCGGCAAAGCGCCCTTTGGCAGCCCCGCGGCCGACGCGCCCCCGCCCGTGGTCACCGCGGCCGAAGTGCCGGGCTCGGAGGGCGGCAGTGCCACTGGGGAAAGCGCCTGTCACTTCGAGGGGCAGCAGCGGCTCCGCGGTGCGCACGCCGAGGTGAGGCCTTCCTTCGGCTGGGCGCCCCCCTCCGTGCTCCGCGGACAGGCTGGGGGAAGGGAGACTGGAGGGCTAGGGATGGGCTCGAGCGGGGAGATGCTTAACCTGTCGCTCCTGTTTTTTTGTTCCTTGTCCGTCCTTCCCCCTCCTCCCCTCATTTCCTGCTGCAGCCCTACGGTGCCTCCCCTGGCTTCGGAAAGGAGCCGGCGCCCCCTGTGGCAGTCTGGAAGGGTCACTCATTCAACACCATCTCTGGCCGAGAAGCGGAGAAGTTCAGCGGCAAAGACAGCGGCAAAGGGGACAGTGATTTCAATGACAGCGATTCCGACATCAGCGGGGACGCTCTGAAAAAGGATCTCATCAACCACATGCAGAGTGGTGAGGACGCTTCCTCCCCGCCAAATTCAGCATCGCTCCCGTCCCTCCCCTTGGCCCCTGCTTGCCTCCTCTTAATCTCGTTCCCAGCCCCCCTCATCTTCTCCACTTTTTTTTTCATTCCTCCACTTCCATATCCGGGTCTGCTTCGTACAGTGAATTTCAAAATGCCACGTCGAGGCAGTTCCACCACTTGAATAAAGCACGCACCCATCCTGTTAGGCCTACAGGGGTGGTGCTAGCCATCTAAGCTGGGAATTCAACTTGTCTTTTGTTTGCTTGCTTCCAGCAGAAGAAACTAGGCCAATTTTGTATTAAGGTGGCTTTACAAGAAGCAATATGCCTTTCGTTTCTTGAATCCCGGCGTTCATCATCTTTATACACACTTTTCTTTTCAGCCACCCTGACCCATTCTGAAGATGGAGGCTTAGGTGTGTGTAATTTCAAGAATAATCATGCTCTTTCCCCTTCCCTTTTATGTTAGGACTGTGGGCGTGCACAGCTGAGTGTAAGATCCTGGGCCACTCTGACCGCTGCTGGAGCCCGTCCTGCAGTGGCCCCAATGCCCAGCCCTCCTCTCATCCACCAGCCCAGATGTCAACCTTCTGTAAGAGCACGTCCCTGCCTCGGGATCCTCTGCGCAGGGACAATTACTACCAGGCCCAGCTGCCCAAGACAGTGGGGCTGCAGAGCGTCTATGAAAAAGTGCTTCACAGAGACTATGACAGGACAGTCACTCTGCTCTCCCCTCCCCGTCCAGGAAGGCTCCCAGACCTGCAAGAGATCGGGGTACCCCTCTATCAGTCCCCCCCTGGCAGGTACCTGTCCCCGAAGAAGGGAGCCAATGAAAATGTGTAATCCCATGCTGCATGTCTTCACACATACACAGGTCACTCTGAGAAGCCCCTAAGTTATTGACCAGTTTCAGTGTTGTATATATAAATATGCAAGATGTGCCTTAAAATGAAGTTGTTGGAAGCTATTTCCAATCACATTGGTACTGTTTGGTATTTGCAAACAAAAATGTAGTTAACGTAATTTTTATGAAATGTGTGCAGTATTTAATTTTTCTTATCATGCTATTGATTTTAATTTCACTTGCAGCTTGCCATTTTCTTAGTGTTTTTAACCTGTACATTGTGTAATGTAATGTTTGTATATAATGAAATTTTGTTATATTTTTATATAATAAAAGCTAAAGTGAAAGTTATTGCCAAAGGAACTGTCTGTAAGACAAAAAAACAAAACACGTTGGAATTACCTAATGGGAATTTATCTTTCACCTGAAACAACCTAGTGTTTGAGAAGTTTTGCCTTGCCAAGTATAACTTGTATATCTTGAGTCTGTAGTAGATTTCAAGTTCTATGTTATTTAATTACATTTGGTTTTCTGTAAACCATGTCACTTATAAGCACAGTAATAAAGGATTTGTCATGTGTTTGAAGAATCTGCTAATTGCTTTTCATGAAGTTGCCTATAGTCAGACATTCACAATTGAGTACCAGAATTAAATCTTCTTTCGAGTGCTAATTATCTGGGCATTTATTCATGTTCATGGCAACATTAAACCTGTGGGATTTCAAGTATTGCAAAATCTCATCCAAGTTTCAAAAACATTTGTTGGTTTTGTAAAGTATGTGCATCTCCATATACATCAGGCACTCCCTATATATAAAATTCCTGATCTCGTTTTTTCACTTAATAAATTTATTGAGCAGCTACCAAAATGTGGAGGAAAGCTAAGTTTGGGTTCTTCATTCTCTAATTAAACAAACATCTGTAGAGCTTTTTACCAGCTGCCGGGAACTCCGCTACAAGCTGGGGTTCAAGTGAAGAAGACATAGCCCAAAGGCAATCTCAGCTTATTAGGGATATTAGTATCAAAAAGACACTCAAATTATGGGTGTAATGACATGATGCTTGAGATTTGTAAAATATTCCAGAAAAAAAACACAGGAGGCTATATGAAGCAAGATGGATAAAATATCGATAATTGTCCATGCTAGCATGGGTACATGTGGAGGTGGGGTAATTAGACCAGTCTATTTGTATGTTTGTGTTTGAAAATGTACATAATGGAAGGTTTTAAAAAAGACACTCAAGAGACCTATGCCTATGTCACACTCTATGCATTTCATTTGTAATTAAAATGATGATGATAATGAGAGCTAACATTACTGAGCAAGCTTTTATATGAGCAGAGCTCCTTACAAAGCACTCTGCATGAATTATCTCATTTAATCCTCAAACTACTCTCATGTTGATAGGAAATATCATTAATTTCTTTTGGCAAATAAGGAAACTAAGGCACAAAGAGGTTAGATAAAAAGCAAAAAATTCCACAACTAGTAAGTGGCCAGAGATTCAAATCTAGATTATTCAGTGCAAAAAAAAAAAAAAAACACAGCAATGAAAGAGGTTTGTTTTTTTCACTTGAAAGAAACAAAGAGTTAGGTGGAAAAGTCCCAACGTGTTGCCTTTACTGCATGATTATTGTTTAGCCCTTCATATTTGTGAAGTGCCTGTGTTCTTTTATTTCTAATTATAGAGTGTGAGGCACTGTAATGAATAGAGGAGCCCTCAAAGCTGCCTGTTGAAGTCATAATTGAAACCAGTGGTGGCTCCAGGCTGAACAGCAGGGTGGGTACACAGAAGTGCTTCACCACCCACGGGCTGTGCAAAGTTCAGTGGTTTCTGTAGGCAACTGTGCTGCTTATGCGCCTGACAAGCTCAGACTGCCCGGACCTCGGGTTCTGAAAGAAAATGCTGGATGTGGGCAGGTTACAGACAGCTCCAGGGCCATAATGACCAGGCCCCAGAAGACAGACTCCCAGGTAGACCTCCCATTATAACATCTAAAGCTTATTCTTGAGCCAGTCCCATCAAATGTAGAGCAGAAGAATGAATAATCCCATGCTGCAGTCTAAAAGCATCCCATCTCCAAATGTGTTTGCTATCTTTATCAATAACTTGAAAAGTAAAACGATGTTATTGTCATTATTTTATTTTGTACTGTTCAAGCTATTATTTCACTACTCCAAAAATTCAAATTTCAAAACGTCTGTGACTTCATTGCCATTTTTTCCTTAGAGAAATGACCACTCAAAGACTTTGCTTTTCCTTAGAACTTTAAAAAAAAAAAAAACAGACACACACACAACTCAGTTCTCAAAATTGTTTAAACAAAAAAGGGGGGGAGGGAGTCTCTTCTAGGGGCCAGCGGCAGGAACTCTCAAAGAATCAGGAGCCATATGAGGGTGGCTTTCCACTTTTCTCTAGAAATGTTTACTCGCAAGCACATTTTTCAAAAAAAAATATTGTTTTATTAAATTAAATGAGATAATGTATATGCAGAACACATAGCACAATGCCTGGACTAAAGTAAGTTCCTACTGCGATCTGTCCTGCTTCCTCTTGCCTTGCCTTCCTTTGGAGCCAGTCTTAGTGTGACTGTCAATACAGACCCACGCACTAAGGAAGATGAAGTAGACCCAGGACGTCTGGCCTCGTTCTGATCCCATTTTGCTCTCTTCACTTCTTCCACTTTCACCAAGTAGACCAGAGCCTGGTGCGTAGTCAACACTGTGCACACACGTATGGCTAAAGTGAACATCACACACAAACTCACACTTCTCAGAGGTTTGTGATGGTAACACAAATACCTCTCTGGAGGTGGAGGTCAACAGCCCTTGGACAGCTTGGCAGTGAGCATTGGGTCAAGAGAAGGCCTCTGGGGAAAAAGGAGGTCACCTAGAAAGAGAAAGCTAAAGCCAGACTTTGCCTATTTCACTTTTTTGTCTCTGGCCCCATTGACTTGGATGTCTGATGCTTCTTCCTGCAATAAAATATCCATCAAAGAAACCACTTCAGAAAATTAAAATGTAAGTGGTTTCAACATCTATTGAAAAATGCATTCTGAAATAGAGCAAAAACAAGATGTATGTCTCCAAATACAAATATATATACATATATATAGAAAAATATATATATAATTGGGATGAGTTCCATGCCATAATTAGCTAAATATTTGGTTTATTTCACTTGGCACACATAAGCTTTTATCGTCTAAAAATTCCATTTTAGAAAACAAGCATATTCACTTTAGTACTGAATTTAGTAACAGCAGGATGATTGGAATGCGGTAAGTTTTGAAAGCAAACTGAAGTAAAGTAATACAATACTCGATGGGACACTGTGCTGTACAACAACACAGAAGAGCTTTGAAAATGCTGTCTTGGTTTTCAAGAGCTATGTAAGAACTCAAAAGAGTATTTATTATTCCCTTTCTTCAGAGAGAGACAGTCTGCAGTAAATTCAACAACAGGTTCAAAGTCAACTAATAACTGAACAGCAGGTAGAAAGAGACACCAGGCTGTTTTAAAAGTCATCACTTAAACCGCCAGCTTAAATGTGCTCTTTTAGCAGGGGGAGAAATTTTCATTCATTATTAGAGTCAGGATTTGTTCCCACCAAACCTGCTTAAGGAATTTCAACATGTCAAGCTGAAGCCTGCACAGCTTAAGACGGAGTTAGGAAAATTCCATTTGCCAACCAATATGAAATTTGGCTATATTACAGACACCTCCGACTCAGCATGTCCAAATGAAAATTATCCCCTCTTCACTCCCACCATTATTCCAAAACTATCCCTCTTTCAGTTGGTATAAACTCAACAAATGGGACCACAAATTTTAGACCAAACTCAAAATACAAAAGCCATGTTAAGATCCCACCCTATTTCTTACTCCCAACATCCAACTACTCATCAAGATTTATTGACTCTACCTTCTAAATATTGTTTAACTGTCTCTTCACTGCACTGAAGCAGATATGATGCTCTGCCCATGTCCCCGTTCTGAGTCCACCTCAGCTGCAGTGGGCACCTCTGGTTGTGCTATGACAGTGTCCATCTCAAGCACCGCCGCTGCTGCTTGAGATTTGCTGAGGAGGCCCCGCCTGAAGCTTGTTCAGCCTGTGCAGACAGCAGCCTGGAAGTACTGGGGACTTAACGACTACATGGGCAACCCTCAACCAATGAGGGACAGGAGTCGGTGGATAAATGCCCCAGCTTTCCCATCCCTTGAGGAACCATTTTGAGCTGTGTTCTACATGGTTCCCCTGAGCATCCCCAGTGATTCGAGCCCCAGTTGCCCACAACAGCCGCCCACCCGATAATTCACCCTTTGTTGGTTTTCCTGTCTTCTCCTGTCTCACTTTCCTCACACTCTTCCTTGTGCTTTCTGGAATCACTTCCCAGATAAACCACCTGCACCCAAGTCTGTGTTGCAGTATCTGCTTTTAGGGGGACTGTCCAAATTGGGATGGCTACATAATAATAAAATAAGGATGCCTTTTTTAAAAATAAACACTGTGTTTCGGGCACTGCACCAAGACTTTGTAGGTTTATCTCATCTAACCCTCACAGCCTCACATCTTACATATGGGGAAAGCGAGGCTGAGAGAGGTAAGGTAACTTGCCATACGTCTTACAGCGAATATTAGAAGGAACTGGGATTAAAATTGAGATCTGTGTGATACAGAATAAGGCATACCTCCTGGTCCAGACTCTCGCTGCCTCTTTCCTGTGCTCCAGCACAAATCTCCTATCTGCTCTCTCTGCGTTCACTACCTGTCCTTCTCTGCGCCGTTCTCCACACTGCTGCCATAAAGATCTTTTTCTAAACATTTGATCTTGTCACTCTTCTGATTAATACCCTATTACTTTGTATCACCTTTAGGATGAATCCAAAGTGCTGTCCATGGCATCCCAGATCCTTCATGCTCAGGCTCAGCCTCCCTCCCCAGCCTCAGTCTTACTGTTGCCTTCCTCCACCACCACCCCATGACCCTTGCCCCCCATAACACACCCCCACCCCCTCCATGTGACCCCACCCAACACCTTGAACTTCAGCCAGAAGGATCTACCGGCGTTTCACCTCTTCATCCTGGTCCTTCTGCCAGGAATGACATTCTATTTCCTCTTCCTCTCTCCCCACCCTCCCTTTCTCTTCTCTGGCCCATTCTTATTACCCTTCAAGACTGCTCTAGAATCGCTTCACTAGAGAAGACTTCTGTGCCTTGCCTTTCCCAAACCCCTCTCCCTGCCACCAGCCAGGCAGGGCATGGTGCCCGTCCTGTGTGCTTCCTCAGCACTGACCAAACTCAGGACAAGTATTGTTCCACTTGTCTGTCTTCCCCGACGGGCCCACGAAATCGACTGGCTGTGTCTTTCATCTATACATCCCCAGCACCTATCACACTGGCTCATACATAATAGGGAGTCCATAAAATGCACTTGCTGATAAGTGTAATTGTGGTAATGGGCATGCACTGACCAAACTCAGGACAAGTATTGTTCCACTTGCCTGTCTTCCCCGACGGGCCCACGAAATCGACTGGCTGTGTCTTTCATCTATACATCCCCAGCACCTATCACACTGGCTCGTA